CAACTCGCAATGTAGTTGATGAGAAAAGCAAGCGCCAAAATGAGTGGTTGATTTAAAGCTTGTGGGTTTTCATCCTCTTTCTCGTCAGTGCAATCATCTTCTTGTATAGCTTTAAAGAAAGCATACAAGGATGGTCTGTTGGCGTATTCAGTTAAAACAATGTTCCGGTAATAGGAAGACTTTTCTGGGTGGGGAGTAATCAAAGCAAGAATCTGGGAGCATAAAACCTTAAGTACAGTATTTTCAGGACCCAACAGAGAAATTCCTGTTTCAAGAATTTCGCCTCCTTTCGCTGCCGCTTTACATCTTAGCAAGTGAATCCCATGGTAACACATTCGTTTTCCCATTGCAACTTCTGAAGTAAGGAAAGGATTTTGCTTCTCTATTTCGTCGGCCTCGTTTAGTAATGTCAATGTCGTTCCGTCAACCCAGGTTATTTCAGTGACAGCTTTAGAAATTAGCAATTGGTGAACAGCTTTAAATTTCCGCTGCTGTTTTGCCTTGGCTATTGCTAAATTGTAAATTCTGTCAAACATCCAGCAAAACTTACAGAAGAACACGGTGTCCAAAAACAGATCCGCATCGGAAAGAACATCGAAAATTGCGTCACAGACAGCTTCATTTTGAAGACCTTCCGAGAGACTATACACCATATTTTCTCTGTTGAATTCGAAATCGTGAAACGCGAGCATAGAATTTCCAGCAAGAAACTGGTTGTTTAAATCTTCACACAACTTTACGTAATAACTCAGGAATCGCATTTCTGCATCGCAAGCAATTTCTTTCATATCAACAGCTGCTTTTTCTGAACCAAATGACCTGATCACGGGGTGAAAGGAAAACAGCACTGGTTCGGAGGAATTTCCTTCAATCAAATATTTTCTCCTGAGCCCCAACAAAGTTTTTTTTGCGGTGTCTTCATCTCCTCCAATGATCTTTACTGCAGCTTTCTCGTCGAACACTTCACTGACAAAAACTGAAAGACAAGCAAATGCTTCTTGCTCTTCTCGAGATAGTCTTTTGAAATAAGACTCGAACAAGACCTTTAAACGTTGATCATTAGGCGCATATGGATCATCTAACAACTCTGCTACTGGTGTTGAAGAGCAGCTGAAGTGGTCAAGGAATTGAGATGCACTCTTCCTCTCGTCAACGATTTGACCGCACAAAAGCTTGATTGCCAGCGGAACGTCTCCACAAACCTCAGCCACTCTGCAGCATTCACTTTCATCAGCAGCGGGGAAAAGTTCTTGAACAAGCATTTGTGACAATTTTCTGTCTAGCGATGCAACACTGACAGACATGTGATCGCCAAATTTTCTTCCCAGCACCGATTGAAGACTCGTCCTTGTTGTCAATAGAAAGGACACATTTTTGCAATGAGAAAAGATCTTTTCCAGTAGCTCTAAAACATCTTGACTCGTTTCACCACTACTCTGAAAAAGGTCATCGGCGTTATCGAGGATGATGCAAATATTGGAAGGAATTGCACTGAGGAGTTCGCACAGTTTTGAACGCTCTTGCCCCGTTAGATCAGACGACGTATATGCAAATGTGTTTAACAGGTCAGAGATCAGCTCTTCCGTAGTCTTGACGCTTCTCAAGGAAAGGAAATAAACTGGTACTCCAAGCTGTCTAAGTTGGTGTCCTACTGCAATAGCCAATGAGGTTTTGCCAAAACCAGGGGGTCCAGATACAGAGACTACGTAAGCAGATGTGGACGTCAACACACGCGAGATATCTTCAACTTTTTGTTGTCGACCAATGAAATGGGGCGCCATGGGAGGAAGGCAGGGTTTGGGCACGGACTTGTCAAACTCTGTGGTAAAATATAGAAAATACTATTACTACTGTTAATCTGTAGGGGTTACCTGATAGGTTAAGGGCCTATGAGCAAAATGCTGTGAAGCACTAGCTTGTTTCTTCCAGTTGCAAAAAAGGTGCTGGTACTCATTGGGAGGAAACGTCCGATGGCATACACCTTGAAGGTACATCAGCCACTGTACTGTTTATAAAAACCGTCGGAACCGCCTCCCCCCCTCCCCCACCCCCCAATAATTTCCTCAACCACGATTCGTTTTCATAGCAAACTTGATTATTGGACGGGAATTGTTCTGGCAGAGAAGAGAGTTACGATAAAGTGTATTTATTTCAGTGAAAGATTATAATATCTCACGCTACATTGGGAAATCATGAATTTGAGTGAAATCTGGTACAAACGGTGTTTTTTGATAGGGCAATATGAGTTTGAAGTATAATATATGGTTGAATTACTCAGATTATGTTAGGCGTGTTATTAATCAAAAAATCAAGATTGGTTAATTGACCACTTGCGTAATAGACAAAATTTTGATCTCAACATGTCTAGAGAAAAATTCCATCACAGCTTGAAAAAGCATCACAAAATTAGTAATATTCCAAAGTTTCGTTGCGAAATGTTGTAAAAGGGCGGCAAATATAGCCTTGCGAAGTTTGTCGTTTTTCAGTTTTTTTTCATTACGCATGCGCAAGGGAAATTGACAGACCAATACCCTTTGGGTCTGTCAATTTCCCGTTTGTAATACAAAATGACTGAAAAACGGCAAACTTTGCAAGGCTATATTATCCACATTTTACAACATTTCGCAACAAAACTTTGGAATATTACTAATTTTGTGATGCTCTTTTAAGTTGTGATGACATTTTTGTCTAGGCTTGTTGAGATCAAAATATTGTCTATTATGCAAGTGGTCAATTGAATCGTATAGCCTGGTTAAATGAACCACGAATCGATCAGGAATCCTTGTTAAATTAGCCAGGATATTGATCAAATTAACGACGACTGTGGTTAATAAGTTAACCAGGAATTTAAATTGACCAGTTACATTAAGTTACCTCAAACAATGTTAATTTTAGGCTAACAAGGAAATTACTAATCGGGTTGTTTTGCGTGTATTATTCTCTATATATTTGGTAACGGTGTACATACCTTGAACTTCGTCTGGAATATAAAATCTCTTCAACACATGTTGAACGTAAGAAGCTGAAACTGCCGCTCCAAATTGGCACCATGTCGAATTTTGAGATTCATCAGTTGCCCACTTTGCAATGGATTTACAGGACAGCCACGGTATTCCAGAGTTCTGACAAGTTTCATATACGCCTTAAAACGACAAAACTGAGGTTATCCTTGACTTTTGAGGAAAACAACGGATCGAACTCGAAGATTTTCATGTCTTATACACGAAAGCGTTAGCCCGAGGGTGACATGTTTATGTTAACTTTTTGACGAGCTTTAGCTCTCCACGAGCCTCCTGTTAGAGCCTCTAGTCGGTCATCAGAAACTTGCAGATTCGTTCCCTGTCTGGGCCACTGGCATCCCAAGCTCACAGGTTGTTGCAATGACAGCCATCTTGAATATTTCAATACATAATGTGCTTTTGAATAGTGTAAATGACGCGTGTGTGGCGAAATATTTATAATACCGCGTGTCCGTAGCACGAGAGTAATTAAGAGCGGTTGTCTGTAATAGTCAGGTAAGACGTGTAAAATGAAAAAATTCAAAATCTTTCAAACTTTGTCAGAATGTAGGCCTATATGAAGTATTAATGTTGTGAAAGTTTTATTTCGATCGGATAAATATTGAAGGAGAGAGACGTCGAAATTGGTTTTCCCAGGCCACTTTCGATTTTTAGAGGTCATTTTACGGCACTACCAAAATCGCTCTATTTTGCGCGTTAATGGGAATATTTCACAAAACATGATTTTGTTTTATAAATTAGAGATATTTATTGATTAGCAGACGAAATTTAGAGACATTTCTGTAAAAAGTGAATATTTTACAGATTTTCTTAATGTTTTTTATTTTCGAACCTCTTTATTATATGCCATATTAGGCAGCGAATATCTCCATTGTTACATCGATTCAGACAAAAAATTCATAACCAGATCAAAGAAATATGTTTTCCCTTGCTATTAATCAAATAAAATTTTCGGGCAACTTAGAATTGAATTTTTGACGATTTTTTTCGTAACCCCCATTTGACCCGAATAACCGTATGTTATGTAATCAACGTCGAGTCATGTAGTTCTATAAATAACCAAAGAGCTCGTCAAAAGCGTTTACTTCTTCCAGTAAACAAGCCTATGCCTATAAAACTACCTTAGCTAAAGTTGTACGATTGGCTGAAAGCATTTATGTCTAAATCACACTGTTTACAGTCGCTTATTGTTCAGGTAATGCCTGTAATATATTGTATAGCCGGCGCCGCTGATTTGGCGGTTTGGTTTTAATTATATTTTATCGGGAATATGCCGCGATAAGTATAGCAAGCTAAGTGTATTTTCTCTCCCCTTCCCATAAACATCTGTTCTTTCACGACTCGTCATGCTTATAACTTTTCGAACATAAATAGTGCACGCGCTTTTTGTCAAAAACATCGGTCATTTTACGTTGAAATTGTAATTCGTTTATTTACAGTACATTACCAGAAATATGGGACAAGATGGCGACGGACATGCGCACTTTGACCAAATATGGCGACCAAATATTACTATAAACTATATGGGAGTTGATCAAAATATCAAATTTTAATATACTTTGTTTAAATATTTCATGGTTGCGAAGCTCGATTATAGTAGCGACACGAACAAGCAATATTTCTAAACAAAAATCGCTAGTATTGCACCGCGTCTAGCAGGTTCCTGAGAATGTTGTATTTTTACACGCAATTCGATGAATTTCATAGTGTAATTTATAGTAAACTTGTGACACAAGAGGTAAATATCCGACGAATAGACCAACATCCATTCGGACGATGCAAAGTGCGGAGCTCGCGATATATTTAATGATGTCCAAACTGTTAATTTAGCTAAATAAATCCGCTGTAATTTCCAGGGAAACTGGTTCCCGAAACGTTTAAAAGTTCGCCTTTTTACGGTTCTTGTATGTCGCCATTAAGCCATCTTAATATCCAAAAACGACAAGTTTTGATACAAATTTGAGCTGTTTCGAGCAGCCATGTTTCTTGTTTATTTTGAAGAACTAGATCCCAAGCTCTCACGTAAAAACACAGGGATATTTTAGGATTTTTTAGGATATTTGCAATATTTTTAGTCTTGATAAAAATTTGCGGGGTTAAAGGTCAAAATACCGGAAGTGATCAGCAAAAACTGCAAAATATGGTTTAAAATCACAGTTTTTGGTTGAATAATACTTGAACTGGAGATTCAAAGTAAAATGCGAAGTCAAATTACTTATATTAGGCAATGTTGGGCATATAAAACGGACTTAGCCGCTGACTACAAAAGCGGGAGCAAAATGTCCCATATTTCTGGTAATGAGTTAATTTAATTAATATTAAAGCTGGATTCTTTCACCGTGATGTCACGCCAAAACCTGTCTTTTCTATTTTTAAAAAAGACCCGCTGTTGATTTATGATTTGGTAATATTTACTACAGTTGTATGTCTTGTATATTTGATTATTTTGTTGTTGCTCAATAACTTTGGTCAAACTTCAGACCAAACTTCTACGCACTGTTACTTATTAACTGGCCATCACTTTTAAAACAGCAAGAAGATAAAGACAACATGTACGTGTGAGTTATCCATGAAATCAATAGTTGGTTTACAAAATGAATTCCGTCTTCGTGGATAAAATTAATGAGTTATAAATAATCTCTCCTGTTTGTGTTAAGCTACATGTAGGGATTTCCCCGGTATATTTCTTCTCTTTTGTATGGCTGTTTGTGGTTACGCGTTATCTGACATATACTTTTGGTCCAATTTCAATTAGGCTACATTTATCCAACCATTTCTGGATGATACATCTAGAACACTCAGACAGTTCTCAGGCCAAAAAAGTCAACTTGAAAGGGGGCCCAACTTTCCCAGAGGGGGCCTCGAAATGCTGGAATTGCGCAACGTGTTCTAAAATTGAAGTCGAAAAAGGTCTGAAAAGTATTTTGAACCCTCCCATTATCGCAAAAATAATTTTTGGAACGTTTTTCCCAAAAAACGTCGCCCGACCCACCCACCCCCCTCCCACCCTTTACATTTTACTGTAACATTTCTGTAACATTTTTGCTTTACCAGAAAACATTTTGAGGGGGCCCCCGAAAAGGAAGGGGGCCGAATTTTTTAGCCGGGGGAAATCCCTACATGTAGCATTTAACACATACAGGAGAGATTATTTATAACTAATTTTTATCCACAAAGACGGAATTCATTTTGTAAACCAACTATGCAGTTAATTAATTAAACTACTAAATAAGCAACAGCGTAGAAGTTTGGTCTGAAGTTTGACTGTTTTCTCAGAACAAATTCAAACTTATTGAGCACTAACAAAATAATCAAATATACAACTGTAATTAATATTACCAAATCACAAATCAATATATAGAGCCGGGATCTTTTTTAAATTAATTTTACAAATGGAAAAGACATCTTTTGGCATGACATCACGGTGAAAGAATCCAGCTTTAATATTAATTAAATTAAAACTCTTTGCGAGGTACCGGGTACGTCGTCCTCGAGAGGTTGACGGCTAGAAATTTCATATCTTCGGATCAGTACATGCTATGCCTTTGAAGACAGAAGTACCACCATTCGATTCAGAAATAAAAGATCAACTAATTCCGAACGATAGTTATAGTCATTATTAACATTGTATAGCGATTTATGGTAGTTTGAAAGTCAAATGCGATCGTATACTATCAAATTACTTCGAGCCTCGAGCTCACAGCCGGACAAGAAATGGAAATACCGTGATAAAAGATGCAAATTTGAAGATACAGGCTTGCAAATAACACTCTAAATAGTGTTTTTGATGGAGATTCGAACAGGACTATTACAAAGACGATATGTTTGAAGGGGTCGAAGTTATTTTCGACGAAAGGTATGGCTAGTCTATATTTTTGTTCAGACAATCGCGTGAGCTATCCCAACCGGAAATACGACTAAAAAAACGTCAAAACAATGCGACGTTTCCATCGTATGACCTTGCAAATGGCCTATGTTTTTTACAAAAAGCGTGTGCACTATTTATGTGAGAACACGAGTTTATGGGAGGGGGAGAGAAAATATACTCGCTATACTTATCGTGGCATATCCCTGATAAAATATAATTGAAACCAAATCTGCCAAATCAGCGGCACCGGCTATCGAGTATCGGGCATTAGCTGAACAATAAGCGACTGTAAACAGTGTGATTTAGACCTAAATGCTTTCAGCCAATCGTACAGCTTTAGCTAAGGTAGTTTTATAGGGCTAGGCTTGTTTACTCGAAGAAATAAACGCTTTTGACGAGCTCTTTGGTTATTTATTGAACTACATGACTCGACGCTGATTATATTAACATACGGTTCCGGCGAAATAGGGCTTACGAAAAAATTCGTCAAAAATTCAATTCTAAGTTGCCCAACAATTTTATTTGGTCAATAGCAAGCGAAAACATATTCCTTTGATCTGGTTAAGAATTTTTTGTCTGATTCGATGCAACAATGGAGATATTCTCTGCCTAAGGGACTGGTCAATATTTATGGCGGGGGGTGGCACCGAAAAGAAAAGGGTTGGGTAAACAAAATTTTGAGTAAGTAAAAGGTTGTGTAAATGAAAAACAAAAAACTCAGGGGTTGGGTAATAAAAAATT